ATACAGAACACGCAACGGGACGGTATGAGGCCGGGCACAGCTGAGTGGGTGGCATGAGAACGCATATGAGGAGCAACGTAGAGACGGCGAAGCCCAACATAGTGATAACACGGTGACAAACATGAAAGGAACTATAGCAGGAGGTCGACGCAGCGACAAATACGACGATCGCCAAAATAGCGCGTTGCAATACCATGACGATTACAAACGCCAACACAACAAAGGGATACATCATAACGAAAGACTGCTGCAGGGTACGGACGATGATCCCCGGAATAGGAGGGAAACAGAACAGCGAAAGGTACGCCCACGAGGCCCAACAAAGCACAAATGTTAAGCACAGTGACAGCGACAGCAGACGGATCCCACACAGCGCCCGTACACCGCGTCAATCACCCGCCCCCAATGCACACCGAAATGGCTTGTCGGGTAACGGGCAGCGGCGCGTGTTTTGTGCATCACGCAATCACATTAAATCAACCTCATTGGGGAGCCGAGAGCCACATATCACGCCCATGGGACACTCGCATTAACGTCATGAAATAACAATAGTAGCCAGTGACCCTCGTTGCCATGGCGACCGGTAGCCTTTGGCGATGGCCTCCACATCCTGGACTTAACGAAGCGGACGGCGCTACAACTGCGGCGGCCCTCGCGACGTCTACTCAGCTGAGAGTTATATAAATACATGAACAAATATATATGCAAAACACAAACACACACACACACACAAATAGACTTACTTACATACATATATATATATATATATATATATATATATATATATATATATATATATATATACATATATACATACATATACATATACATATACATACATACATACATACATACACATACATACACATACACACACACACACACACACAACACACACACACACACACACACACACACACACACACACACAACCACACACACACACACACACACACACACACACACACACACACACACACACAACCTCGCAGCCCCCTCAGACAGCCATAAAACCCTGGCCGGAAAATGGAATGAAGTGCCCCACCCCCACCCCAACCCCCGCCCCACCCCCCCCCCCACCCCACCGGGAACTTTCGCAAACTTCCTTCATCGAGTCTGAACGATTTTACGATTCTCTTTCAGTCAACGGCAACAGAGGGCTACTTCCGTTTCCTAAGTCAAAGAGGAGGGAGAATGATAGATTTTGCTCCCTCGCAAATGACGGCGGTTTTCATTTGGAGAAAAAATCAAAAGTACAAATGTCCCCCCTCAAAAAAAAAAATAATAAAATAAAAATAAATAAATAAATAAATAAAAAATAAATATAAATAAATAAAAAAATAATAAATAAATAAAATAAATAAATAAAAATAATAATAAATGTAAATCGAAGTCGAACGAAATCATATATCATATATCACTGGATTATGATGAAAGCACACTCGCAGCGGAGACACATCCGACTCCTGTGCGCATCATGCATCAAGTACATTCGTGCACAAGTACCCACCCAGCTCACTCACCCACTCACTATCTACTCACCACTCACCCACTCCTTCACACTCACTCACCCACCCACTCACTCACTCACCCACTCATTCACCCAACCCACTCACTCACTCACTCACTCACTCACTCACTCTCACTCACTCACCCACCCTCAATCCCCCCTCCGTCCCCTCGGCGCACAATGAACAGTCGATCCCTTCCTCGGAGGGGAAAAGGGGAAAAGGAAAAAGGAAAAAAAAAAAATAAGAATAAAAAAAAAGGAAAAAAATGAAACAAGAAAAAAATAAAAACAAGAAAAAAAGAAAAAAAAAGGAAAAAAACAAAGGAAGCGCCGGGAAAACGAGACGGCGCAACTTCCGCGCAACGGGAGCCGTTCGTCGCCAATCCCCCGCCCTGTTATTGGCTGCACTTCAGCGGAGGAGCAAAACGCCTTATAAGTCCACGCGGGACCAAAAGGCAATAATATGCCAACATAAACAAGGCGGACTTAATCAACGTCTCACGCCCGCCGGAAGGAGGAGGGAGGGAGGAGGGGAGGGGAGGGAGGGGAGGAGGGAGGGAGGGAAGGGGAGGGGAGGGGAGGGGAGGGGGAGGGAGGGGAGGGGAGAGGGAGAAGGGAGAAGGGAAAGGGAGAGATTGAAAGATTGAGAGATTGAGAGAGAGGAAGGAAGGAAGGAAGGAAGGGAGAGAGGAAGGAAGGAAGGAAGAGGAAGGAGAGAGAGAGAGAGAGAGAGAGAGAGAAGAGAGAGAAGAGAGAAAGAAAGAGAAAGAGAAAGAGAAAGAGAGAAAGAAAGAAAGAAAGAGAAAGAAAGAAAGAAAGAAGAAAGAAAGAAAGAAAGAGAGAGAGAGAGAGAAGAAAGGGATTTTTGCAATATGTGCAACGGTAATATACGAGTCGAGAGTAGCGCATTCTGCAGCTAGATGTCGGCCAATAACTTCAGCGAAAAAAAATAACTTAACAATCTAAATTTCACCGAGGGGGCGTGATTAAATATAATACACAATTTGAGCAGATCATAAACATCTGAAATTGCAACATGATTAAAGCATAAATTTCATATCCAAAGGACAAACAACATATTTTCTATGCGCGGAAAACGTACGAACTTAAATACAATTTACTGTGCATATTTTTTTTTTCAAAAATTACGAAAAAAATATCATATTCTCATTCTATTGTGAACTTTCAATATGGCTTCTCTTAATATAACGTTATTAATTTTCAATATGAGGCTCACTGGTTAATATCTGAGAGGCCGTAATGAGGTATTCGAATCCCGTAAAAATGAAAAAAAAAACAAAAATGAAATATGAACAGTGAATCTGTTGAGAGGTATTTTAATACTTTAATATCTAGTTTATTTATAATTTTTCTCCCCTCCCCCCCCCCCCCCACCCACCCCGATGAATTCTGGGCTCACCAAATTCCGTTAAAGTGAGTACGTGTGGATATATATATATAACGAGTAAATAAATTCCAAAAAGGAGAAAAAATGCGCCTTCATTATTTCCGGCAATAACGCGGAAAAATTTATAACATCCGATAAAGGAGAGTTCAGTCCGGTGTACAAGTAATTACTTTCCGACTCGCCGACCGTTATCAAATGAAGAAAATTATGTAATAACGAACCGTGGATCTGTTCCGTAATCGGGCTTTTGTCTTGGGCGTTGCGACGACCGTGGGCGGAGGCTGCTGGAGGGGGGGGGGGGGGGGGGGGGGTCGAGGGGCTGGACTTCGCCGACGACGAACGCCCGGAAATGCAGCAGCAGCAGGAGAAATAAAGGTCATGTTTGTGATGTACAGGAAAAAAAGATTCGGGAAATGAAAAAAAAAAAAAAAAAAAAAAATCATAGCAGAAATTACGACGAACAATATTTCGCGATGCGTTAACACAATGACCACCCAATCATGATTAAGAAAAAAAAAATCGAAATCCCACGAAATAATGATCAGAGCCCAAGTCCCCGGCGAGATAGTGAGACGTGGCGCGCCGGGTCCGCAGAGTTTCCCAAGCGGAGGGAAATTTCCGAGTGTTTGCCCCGAGCCCCATGCAAAAGGCGGCGGCGCAGCGGTCAGAAGAAGCGCGAGAAGAACCGGAGGGAAATTGATTGACAATTAGGTAGTGCAGCTGTCCCGTGCTGTGCGTCAGAGGGCTCGCGCTGCCCTTCTTTCCTTGTTTATGGCGGCTCCCGAGGCTGTCTGCCCGGATACATCATGCGAGCCCCCGCCTGCGTGCGTGTGACCTCCCGCTGGCTCAGCCTCCTCGCGCTCTTAAAGCATCATACTTTGCAAAACGAAGTTAAAGCGCTCATTTCCCTGCAATGTCCTTCCGTTTTTTGACAGCGAAAGTGTGTGTGTGTGTGTGGGGGGGGGGGTCATTGTGCATTACCATATTTACATGTGTTTGGAAACGAACGTAAAATCTGGTGTTTGTAGTTAAACATGAAGCAATCTGACCATGCATGCATAAGTGGAATACGTACGTATGTGCGTGTGCGCGTTTCCTTGTCCGCTATACGTTTACTTATATAAAGCGTTTGTTGGTGTTTTTTATTACGTATTTTTCCTTTCTCTCTCTCCCTCTTTGACGACTTTTGAAAAGACACATTCAATCCGACGTTTTTCTTTCTTTCTCTCTCTCTCTCTCTCTCTCCCTTTTCAATGGCGAGTAGGAAAGAAGGTTCGTTTGCTTCGTTATTACAACTTTTATTTTCCTTTTTTTCTGGTGCTCGGTCGAAACAAATGCCGTCGGTCCATTGAGGGCTTGTAAGGAGGGAAGGAGACAAAAGAGGGAAGGGGAGAAGAAGGGGAGAAGAGGGGAAGCTGGAACACTTCCTGGTTCCTCATTCGAAAAGTATACCTGGTACATTCTCATTTTTTATTCATCGCCGCGTCGACTTTCTTCAGTTATGCAGAAAGGCAGAAAAATAATTAAACAAACAGATATACAGAGTATACAGGGTATATAGAGGTATATAGATGTATAGAGTAAACAGCGGCTTAACACTGAGGGGTAGGAGTGAGAAAGAAAAGTGGAAAAAATAACGTAAATGAAAAAAAAGAGAAAAACAACGAACACCTTTAACCAAAAACAATTGCGAGAGAGAGAGAGAGAGAGAGAAGAGAGAGAGAGAGAGAGAGAGAGAGAGAGAGAGAGAGAGAGAGAGAGAGAGAGAGAGAGAGAGAGAGAGAGAGAGAGAGAGAGAGAGAGAGAGAGAGAGGGAGAGAGAGGGAGAGAGAGAGAGAGAGAGAGAGAGAGAGAGAGAGAGAGAAGAGAGAGAGAGAGAGAAGAGAGAGAAGAGAGAGAGAGAGAGAGAGAGAAGAGAGAGAGAGAGAGAGAGAGAGAGAGAGAGAGAGAGAGAGAGAGAGAGAGAGAGAGAGAGAGAGAGAGAGAGAGAGAGAGAGAGAGAAGAGACAGAGAGAGAAGAGAGAGAAAGAGAGTTAGATACCGAGAGAAAAAGAGTGAAAAAACGTTAAAAAAATCAACCTCATGCACACCGGCCACAAGTCCGACAACAGCACCACCCGAGGGGAACGCTGTAGGGGAAAATTCGAGCGCGCACCCCCGAGGGGACGGGGGGGGGGGGAATCCGACGTCTACAAGATACACGATCGCGGATGTTGACGTACGAGGGGGCAAGTTTCGACGCACATGAGGGATATGCTGGAAGGAGGGGGGGCAAGGGCGGGGAATGGGGGTACTTATTCATTTCTTCTCTTTCTCTCTCTCTCATACACTTTCTCTCCTTTCACTTTCTCTCTTACATACACACACGCACTCTCTGTCCTTCTCTGTCTCTCTGTTTTTCTTTCTTTCTTTCTTCTTTCTTTCTTTCTCCTCTCTCTGTCAGTCAGCCAATTAGTTGTACCGTCTCTCTCTTCTCTCTCTTTCTCTTTTTCCTTAATTTATCCAGGAACGTCAGGGGACTTCCCATTGACGATGCAATTTGGGAGTGAAATGACCGGAAAAGGAGCCCGCATAAGTGCAATCGCAAACACAAACTGGAACAACACGCACAAACAAAAAACTGACAAAAACACTAACACAAACAAAACACTGACAAACCGAAAACTAACACAACAAAAACACAAACAAAACACTGACAAAAACACTAACACAAACAAAACACTGACACAAACAAAACACTAACAAAACACTAACTACAACATTGAATATTTCTCATGTCATTTCTCACCCCAAAGACGTTTCGGAATTCCGTGTTCATCAAAAAGAAAAATAAGACAATTCGAAAGCACAAAGAAAAGGAGAGAGAGAGAGTCTGGGAAGACAGAAAGAGAGGGAGAGAAAGGGTGGGAGGGAGAGAGGAGAGAGAGAGGTAGAGAGAGAGAGAAAGAGAGAAGAGAGAGAGAGAGAGAGAGAAGAGAGAGAGAGAAGAGAGAGAGAAGAGAGGAGACGGAGACATAGAGACACAGAGAGAGAGAAAGAGAAAGGACACACAAAAAGAGAATATAAGAGAAATAAAAATTATCTTAAACCCGGCCCGGCAGGCCCATGGAGCGACCGCCCGACCACCGCCGACGACCCGACGACCCGACGACCCGACCACCCAACGACCCGACCTCACCCCGACCCGACGACCCGACCACCAACGACCCGACCACGACCCGACCACCCAACGACCCCGACACCCAACGACCCGACCACCCAACGACCCGATCACCCGAACCACCGACCCACCCAACCACCCACGACCGACCACTCCCACGACGCCGACACCCACGAACCCGACACCCAGCGACCCCGACCACCCGAACGACCCAACGACCCGACCACTCAACGCACCCCGACCCACCCGACGACCCGACCACCACCGACGCACCCAACGACCCCGACCACCCCACCGACCACGACGACCGACGGGCACCAACGGTACCCGATCCCGACCCGACCACCAACGACCGACCCACTGACCAACCACCCAACGACCCCGACCAACCAACGACCACCACCCAACAGACCCACCACCCAACGACCACACCACGACCTCGACACCCAACGCGACCCGACCACCCACGACCGCCCCCAACGACCGACCACCCAACGACCCGACCACCAACGACCCCGACGACCACACCGATCCTCGACCACCAACGCCCATCAACGCCGACCACCGACCCCCGACCACCCGACCACCCGACCACCCAACGACCCGACCCCAACGACCGACCACCCAACGACCGACCACCCAACGACCCGACCACCCACGACCCGACCCACCAACCGACCCGACACCCAACGACCCGACCACCCAACGACCGATCACCGACACCCAACCATCCAACGACCCGACCACGCCCAACGACCCAACGACGACCCAACGACCCGACACCCGACCACCACGCACGACCCGACCACCCACGACCCGACCACCCAACGACCCGACCAAGACCCGACCACCCAACGACCCGACCACCCAACGTACCCGACCACCCAACGACCCGACCACCCAACGACCCGACACCAACGACCCCGACCCACCCAAGACCGACCCCCCAAACGAACCCGAACCACCAACACCCAACACCCAACGACCCGAACCACCCACGCCCGACCACCACCCCATACAGTGATCACCCCGAGCGATCGCAACGACCCGACCACCCGACCACCCTACAACGACCGAACCACCCGACGACCCGTACACCCGATGCACCACCCGAGCCGCCACCCCAACGACCGTCCGACCCTACCGAATCCCAACGACCCCCGTCCACCGCCCCCCCCCCCCCCCCCCGACCCACCCCGAACCCACCGCCAAACGACCCGAACTGTTCAGATCCACCGATCCCCGCCGCAGCCCACCCCACAACGCGCCCGGCTCTCCGCGTGCACGACCACCCCGACCCACCCCAACCGCACCAACGACCCCGACCCGCACCGCACGACGACCCGACCACCCGAACAGCCAACGACCCCGACCACCGACCACCTCACCCGTACCGACCACCCACGACCCGACCCACCCGACCACCCGAGCCCACCCGACTCGCTATATGACTCGCTGCGAGAAAATTACAGCAGATCTCGGGAAAAAATAGTCTTAAAAGCACACAATTTTTTCGCGAGTAAATTCTGGGCCATATGGAAATATGTTTACCAGATACTTTGGAAAGAAGAAAGAAAAAAAAAAAAAAAAAATAGCCGGGTCAATGAATGAATAATACATACGTAAAAAAATAAAGGCTGTGCTTTTGAGGTCTCACAGAAGAATAATTCAACACACATAATGAACAAAAATATAAAATGTCGCTGTATTTTTGATGATGATTGATGACAAAGAAGACAATAGCTAATACAACGATATAATAATTAATACGAAAGTAACAGATATTATAGAACAATATCATTATGGGTAAAGCATGTCATTTTAGGCGACGTGAAAATCGTTCTGCTTCCATTTCATCAAGACATTTAAAACTTAACTAGTCAACGCGAATTACATCACAATATAAATATATATATATTATATATATAATATATATATATATATTATATATGTGAGTTATTATATATTAATTATATATGTTTGTGTGTGTGTGTGTGAGTTGTGTGTGTGTGTGTGTGTGTGTGTGTGTGTGGTGTGATTTGTGTGTGATAATATATATTATTAATATAATATATATATATATATATATATATATAATATCAGTCTCTGACAATTCCTTTATATTGCAATTACTGAAACCCGCACCCGTTTTTACCACGTGCCGCAACATTTTAAAAAAAAATCCTTAATGAGTTGCCTTTGATGTGTATTAATTATCAGCTCTTTTTCATATTAATAGTCTACTCACCTCCTCCTCTCCTCTCCTCTCTCCTCCTCCTCCTCCTCTAGTAGACCGGCCGTCCCTCTAAGTCCTTTCCGCCTTACAACCGGTGCCTCACGCTTAGAGTAGGTAGAGGTAGGACGGTAGGGAGGTAGGTAGGTAGGATATAGGTAGGTAGGTAGGTTAGGTAGGTAGGTAGGTAGGTAAGGTATAGTAGGTAGGTAGGTAGGTAGGTAGGTAGGTTAGGGTAGGTAGGTAGTGGTGGGTTGGTGGTGGTGGTGGTGGTGGTGGTCTGGTGGTGGGTGGTTGGTGGTGGGGGGGACGTTACATTTGATTTGTGTACACACACAATTATAAACATAAATGGCTATAATATTGTGTGTGCTGTGTTGTATATGTATTATATGCATTATATGTGTATATGTGTCTATAGGATATAATATCTATGTGTATTATGTGGCCCTATATGTATGTAGAGGTACGTATAGTATATATATATATTATATATATATATATATATAAATATATATATAATATATATATCACATATAAAAATATGTGTACAAACACAGATATAAAGTGACCAGCCAAAGCCGTGTTAAACCATTCAAAGACACATGTACACACACAATATAAAACATAATTGGCCTATAAATTTGTGTGTGTGTTATATGTATTATATGCATTATATGTGTTATATGTGTCTATAGGTATATAAATATCTATGTGTATATGTGTATATGTGTCGTCATATATGTATGTATATGTACGTATATATATAATATATATATATATAATATATATATATATATATATCATATATCATATATATATATATATATTAATATATATAATCAACAATATATGTACAGACACAGATATAAGTGACCAGCCAAAGCCGTGTTAAACCATTCAAAGAGACACTCGCCGCGCCGACTTTCTCAAAAAATGAACCCTTTTAAACCCTTTATGTATACAGCAATATCATCATTAATGTATTTTAAATCTCCTGGGAATCGGTCTTAAGGTCTTCCACGCAGGATATTCCCCCCTCCTCCCCTATCCCTCCCGCTCTCCCTCCCCTGGCCCCCCATCCGGCTACCCTCCTCGCCCCCGCTTCCCCCTCCACGACCACTTCCCTCCTAGCACCTCTTCTCCCTCATTCTCTCCCCTCCAGTGACCTCATCCCCTCCCTCCCTCCTCCTCGTTTAACGCCCGTCCTTCTCCCTCCTTTCCCCTTCCTTCCCTCCCTCTTCCCTCCTTCCTCTCACGCTTTGTTCCTATCCTCCAAGGGATAGAACTAACCTGATAAAGAGACGAGAACATCTCTGGGGAGTGGGGGTTGGGGGGGGACGCAAAGGGGTGGAAGACGACTGCATCACTCACCCTCGCGCTGTCTGTCTGTGTGCCTTCCTCTTCCTCTCATTCTCCCTCTTCCCTTTCCCCGCTTCCTCCTCCCTTTTCCCTTTCCCCCTTCCCTCTCCCTCTTCCCTTCTCCATTCTCCTTTCCTTCTCTTCCTTTCCCCTTCCTCTTCTTCATGTCCCTCCCTTCCCTCCCCTTCCCTTCCCCGCTTCCTCTCCCTTCCCCCTTCCTCTCCTCCCTTCTCCCCTCCCTCTCCCTCTTCCCTTTCCCCCCTTCCTCTCCCTCTTCATGTCCCCTTCCCCATTCCATCTTCCCCCCCTTCCTCCTCTCTAGATAAAGGGAAGATCCACGATTCTCTTCCGCCTGACCTTTGACCTCCCCAGCCGTCCCCGCCCCCTTCACGCCGAGTGATTCTGTCAAAGCCGATATTTACGGTTAAGTCTTGACCGCGCTGTACATATCGTCAGCGAAGCCTCTTTTCTTCGACTCGGAACACGGTTGAAATAGCGCCACTCCAACGCTCGAAATATCGGCAGTTATTTCCACCGAGGATTTCGCTTTTACTCTTTATGACACGTGACTGTCGGCCGCCAAGAATGGCTCTCTGGGAAGATGAAACGTTTTCATTGTCTTCCTTCTATTTTCCAAGTCTTGATCCGAATTTTTCCTTTTTGTTCCCTCTCTTCTCCCTCTCTCTCTCTCTTTCCCTACCTCCCTCCCTCTCCCTCTCTCTCCTCTCCCTCTCCCCTCTCTCTCTCTCTCTCTCTCTCTCTCTCCTCTTCTCTTTTCCCTCTCCTCCTCTCTCCCTCTCTCTCTCTCTCCCCCGTCCCTCTCTCTCTCTCTCCCCTCCCTCTCTCTCTCTCTCCCGTTCCCCTCTCTCTCTCTCCCTCCTTCTCTCCGTCCCTCTCTTCTCTCTCCCCTCTCTCTCTCTCTTCTCTCCTCTCTCTCTCTCTCTCCTCTCTCTCTCTCTCTTCCTCCTCTCTCTCTCTCTCTCTCTCTCTCTCCTCTCTCTCTCTCTCTCCTCTCTCCCTCTCTCTCTCTCTCCTCTCCTCCCTCTCTCTTCTCCTCCCCCTCTCTCTCCCTCGTCCCTCTCTCCCGCCTCTCCTCCCCGTCCCTCTCTCTCTCCTCCCTCCCCTCTCTCTCTCTCCCGTCCCTCTCTCTCCCTCTCTCTCCCAACTCGAAAACTTCGGAAACTTTACCTCGGAATTTTTCCTCCCCCTCCCTTTCTTCCCGCCGTCGTCGTCCCGAGCGGCGCCTCCGTCTCGCGACTCACGCATCTCGGACGTCACGGGAGAGCGTCACCGGCGGGTCCGTCCTGGTCTCACGGAAGCGCGGCGGAGTCACGACTCGCGACTCAATAAGGGTCAGTTTCCCTTGGCAACCGGTCAGCCGCTGCCGATTTGCGGAGATGACTTGCAGGAGTTCAGTCAGTCAGTCAGTCAAGTCGCACGGGGCTCGGGTTATGGAAGTCGTCTCGGTCGATGATGTGTCGTCACTTTCACTGCCATCGTCACTGCGAAGCGACGCTATTGCACACCGCTCGAGTGTGCAACATGTGAGCCAAATCTGAACCTCCTTATTTAGTTCAATAAAGATGCAAGAGGACGTGGGAAGGCGAGCACGTTCATTACGGTTTGGGCAATGCTGTTCTGAAACACGTATTACTTTCGCTTTACACGTGTCTGCTCTTCCCGTCCTCTCTCTCTCTACACAAACAGTATACAAACTCACACAAATAAAAACAAACAAACACAAACAAGCAAGCAAACACAACACACAGCAAAGCACACAAACACACGCAAAGACACACACACACACACACAGAGCAACAACAAAACATACACACGCACACAAACGCTCAATTTGTACTAAACCTGCAGTGGAGATGCAGAGGACACACAGACAATCGGGTTACAATCTTTTGACAATCCCATTTTACATTCTCGTGCCGCATTAGGGGAGTTTGGCTGCCTTCTCCTGACGCTCGGATGTTGACGCTGACACTTCTGCTGACGCTGCTGACGCTCCCAGCCCTGCCGTTGATCAAGTCGTTACTGACAGGGGCGTTGTTAAGCTGCACTGCCGGCAAGACTTGTCGACTGATGTTTGTGTGGCGCTGACATCCGAGCTGGCACTATGGCTGGCACTCTTCCCCTTATTGGAGATTCCGGCCTATCTGTGTGTGCTTAGCCTCTCGAGTCTTTTTGTTTATTTTGTTATTATTCTTAATCTCGACTTTACGTTTGGCCATTGCAAAAAATGCACCACATCACACACACACACACACACACACACACACACACACACACACACACACACACACACACACCACTCTCTCTCTCTTTCTCTCTCTCTCTGTTATTGTGGATATTGTTATACTGTTGTTGGGAAACATCTTTTTTTACTGTTCCACATCCTGTCTGAGCAGTTGGTGTGTGGCGCCGGCATGTATATTGTCATGAATATAAAGTCAAAACTGTTACAAGATCTCCGTTCATTAAAGAAGTTGCATTATTATGTGCATGCCTACTCGAGGGCCTACAAGTGAGTGCTCTCTCTCACTCTTACTCTTATCTTCACTCATTCTCTCCCTCACCCTCACCTTCACTTACTTTCACTCTCGCCCTCACTCCTCATAGAGTGAATAGAATCACGCGATAAGAATAATAGTGGAAAACTTTACCTTTACATTCTCTTGTTTTGCTTTCCTTTTCCAAACAATTTCCGTGTCCCTCTTGATACATACTTTCCTTTCCTTTCCTTTCCCTAAACTCCAACCTGAAGCAATTCATAAACATCATAAACTCATTCGAATTTGCATCTTTCTTTCTTTCTTTTTTTTTTTTTTTGGCTTACTGAAAACCTTGTCACATTATTAATCTTCACTTTCTGTCTTGCCAAAAATGTGCTGCATGACAGTCGACCTCACGACTCGCCTTCTATTCACTCTCTAATTCATCACGTAGCATCCGTACGCTGTCGCATGCTTCTTTTCTTATCATCAACTCTTCATCTTATCCACGCATTTTCTTCTTCTCCGTCTCCTCCTCGTCCTTCGTTTCTCGTCTTCGTCTCTTCTCGTCTTCGTCTCTTCTTCGTCTTCGTTCGTCTTCTCTTCGTTTCCTTCGACTTCGTTTCCTCTTCTTCGTCATCCTTTTCATTCAATCTTCCTCTTCAGCTTCCATGCCAATCTTTCCCTTCGCTCCCTCTATATCTACCCTCTTCCTTCTCCCGTCCTCGCCTTCCCTTTCCTTACCCTCTCCCTAATAATCCCCTTTTTCCCTCCTCTTTTCCTTCTCCCTTAACATCTCTCACCTCGATTCCCTCTTTCTCTCCCCTTTCTCTTGAAGCCCTTCACCCTTCTTATCCCTTCCTCCTCGCTCCTCCTAACCTTCTATCTCTTTCTCTCCCCTCCTCCCTCCTATCTCCTTTTCGCCCTTCCCTTCCCCTCCCTCCCTCCCAAACCTTTCCCACGCTCTCCTTTACCCTCCCTTGGCCCTCCTCCTCCTCCTCAACCCTTTCCCTTCCACCGCCTTCTTCCTCCTCAAGCCTTTCCCCACCCTCCTTCCCCTCCCGCCCCCCTCCCTCTCCTCAAGCCCCTTTCCCACCCTCTTTCCCCTCCCTTTGGCCTCCTCCCTCTCTCCTCCTCCCTTTTCCCTCCCTCCCCCCCTCCCTCTCCCCTTCCCCCCCCTCCCTCACCCTCCCCTCCTCCACCTCCCTCCCCTACACCTGGCCCCCACTCTCCTCCCTGAGAGTCGCGCCAGGTTAGTAATTATGCTGGAAGTGGTAATAATTGTCGCCCCGTAAATTAACGATAATAAGGTGTTTACTTGGACAAAGGTAAGGCATTGTGTTGGCCGTAATTTCGACTCGGAATTGCTATCCTCTTGACGCCGCAAGAAATGACTGGGAAGGGTGGAGGGTAATTTTTTTTCAACCTCGTGTCCTAAAAAAAAGGAAAAAGAAAAAGAAAGAAAGAAAAAAAAAATAGAAGGAGAGCTTTACTTTACTTTGTTTCCAAACGTGTAAAGAAAAGGAGAGAAAAAAAAGAAAACTTAAAGAGTGAAAAGAAGTGAAAATGGATTTTGATTTGGGAAAAAAAAACGTAAATGTGATTAAGCTCCTTTGTTCGATGTCATTTACAGTTGGAGAGAAAATGAAAATCCGTAAAAAATAAGAAAAAAATTCAACTTAATACATTTTCTGAAAAGACATTTCCCTTCTTTCAATTCGCTTCGCAATTTAGCGGCAGCAGGCAGGAAAGTGCACTAGCAAGGTTGATGGTATTACGAATGACAGAAAAGGTGTCGGCAGCTGAAAAATCCACGCGCACCGAAACAGATTTTCATATGTATGAGGACAATTAGGATTTCAAATGAGACTCCTTGAAGATTCGAGTAGAAGACTAGCTGCTAAGAAGGCCCTGGGACACGCCCTTTTTTTTTCCTTCGTGTTCATTCGGTTAAGAGCACGACTTCCCGAGCGCACGACTCCCAAGCCTCCTCCTTGGAGTGCACGGACGACACTTCCCCGCCACGACCCGCAGCCGACGGCAAAACCCGCTCAACGTGCTCTCTCTCGTCCGTGCACCGTCCGTGCGACATTCTGAATTCCCGTGGCGTCCGTGCAACCTTCTCCAGTGCACGGGGGGCGCGGAGTTATCCCGGTAGCAAGCCCTGAGGATATTCCCAAACCAAATTTACATTGTGAACACGACACTTTTGGAGTCCGACGCTAAGCAGGAGAGAGACAAAGGAATACCCAAAGGCTTCGAGGGTCACAGTCGTCGAAAAGAAGCGCTCAAGAGACGAGGAATACTGGCTGGCGTCGCAAATAAAAGAGGGGGGGGGGGAGAAAGAGGGAAATATCAATAATAATCTTTAATGAGTATTGGATAATCCTAAAACTCACCCCCAAGGAAAAGAAACAAAACAATAATAAAAAGAATTCTTCCCTCAAATAAATAATAAGAAAGATGAGAGTATAAAGAGAACTTGGGATAGTTACAGGCCCGTGAAAACCCACTCACGTTCTCTCTACGAAGAAAATAAAATTTTACGCGAGATATAACTCGGTATTTAGGGACATGGCAGCGTCGCGGGGAAGGACCCTCGCTGTCTTGGTAACACTGCGCGCCCTCGAGCCCGTCCTTGGCTATACCTTTTTCTCCGCATTACTTTCTTTATTCTTTCGCACCGACACTCGGAAAAAAAAAATTGTTTCTTGCCGGGTTTTTTTATCGCCTGTGCTTCGGTGACGCTGATTTTTACCGTATTTCGCATCGTTTCTTCCCATTTTATTCTTTCCTTCTTCTTTCGTACTGGAACTCGCTAACGAACTTTTTTTTTTTCTTCCCTCCTTCGGATTCCGCCCGAGATTCGCTACCGCCGCGTTCCCCTGTATTTCAATGGCGGAATATCCCGCCGCTCCCCTTCCGTCTGCCAGCGGCTATCGGTGTCTCCGACAGCTGCCAATCACCGGCAGCCGCATCCGAATCGATTAATTAGTCAAGCATGGATTCATATGACTGCGTGTGTTATTCCGAACGCAATATCGCCAACGACCATATGCTATTATTCCAGCTCGGAACAAGCAATTATCCGTCATTCAATAAACAACATTTCTACCCGGATTATTTCGTCGTCGGACCCGCGGCCATTACCGTTGCAAGATTCACGCTGATATTTCCGCATTATACAGCAACAAGCGCGCGGGCGTTCGCAACAATTATGTTTGATTACGGCGATATTCTGGCGGGGTGCTGCCGTCGGCGGGCCGCGGGGAGGACAGGCCGCTCCACACACAACGACAATGCGCGAGTCGACAGGATGATAACACAGTGCACCGAGAGGTAGAGAGAGGAAGGGAGAGGGAGGGAGGGAGCCAGGGCAGAGGGACAGGGCAGGACGCAGGGAGGGAGCCAGGGCAGAGGGACGTGAAGAGGGAGAGGAAGGGAGGGAGCCAGGGCAGAGGGACGTGAAGAGGGAGAGGGAGGGAGGGAGCCAGGGCAGAGGGACGTGAAGAGGGAGAGAGAGGGAGGGAGCCAGGGCAGAGGGAGCGAAGAGGGAGAGGAAGGGAGGGAGCTAGGGCAGAGGACGTGAAGAGGAGAGGAAGGGAGGAGCAGGGCAGAGGAGTGAAGAGGGAGAGGAGGGAGGGAAGCAGGGCAGAGGGCCGTGAAGAAGGAGAGGAAGGGAGGGAGCCAGGGTAGAGGCGTGAAGAGGGAGAGGGAGGAGGAGCCAGGGCAGAGGGCCGTGAAGAGGGAGAGGGAGGGAGGGAGCCAGGGCAGAGGCCGTGAAGAGGGAGAGGAAGGAGGGAGCCATGGCAGAGGGACGCGAAGAGGGAGAGGGAGGGAGGGAGCCAGGGCAGAGGGCCGTGAAGAGGGAGAGGAAGGGAGGGAGCCAGGGCAGAGGGCCGTGAAGAAGGAGAGGAAGGGAGGGAGCCAGGGCAGAGGGACGCGAAGAGGGGAGGGAGGGCCAGGGCAGAGGGCGTGAAGAAGGAGAGGGAGGGAGGGAGCAGGGGGACGTGAAGAGGGAGAGGAGGAGGGAGCCAGGGCAGAGGGACGTGAAGAGGGAGAGGGAGGGAGGGAGCCAGGGCAGAGGGACGTGAAGAGGGAGAGGGAGGGAGGGAGCCAGGGTAGAGGGACGTGAAGAGGGAGAGGAAGGGAGGGAGCCAGGGCAGCGGCCGTGAAGAGGGAGAGGGAGGAGGGAGCCAGGGCAGAGGGACGCGAAGAGGGAGAGGGAGGGAGGGAGCCAGGGCAGAGGGACGTGAAGAGGGAGGGAGGGAGGGAGCCAGGGTAGAGGGCGTGAAGCGGGAGAGGAAGGGAGGGAGCCAGGGCAGAGGGCCGTGAAGAGGGAGAGGGAGGAGGGAGCCAGGGCAGAGGGACGTGAAGAGGGAGAGGGAGAGGGAGCCAGGGCAGAGGGACGTGAAGAGGGAGAGAGAGGGAGGGAGCCAGGGCAGAGGGACGGTGAAGAGGGAGAAGAGGAGGGAGGCAGGGCAGAGGGACGTGAAGGGGAGAGGGAGGGAGCAGGGCAGAGGGAGTGAAGAGGGCAGGGAGGGCAGGGAGCCGTGAAAGGGAGAGAAGGGAGGGAGCAGGGCAGAGGGACGTGGAAGGGAATCGGGGGAAGGGAAAGAGGAAGAGGAATGGGGGAGGAAAGGGAGAAGGAGGGAAATCGGGGAGGAAGGTGAGAGGAAGAGGAAATGGTGGAGGAAAGGGGAAGAGGGAGGGAAGAGTGAAGAACGAGAGGGAAAGGAGGTGGGTGAGGTATAGAGGGGGGGGAGGATATGAGAAACGAATAAATACAGAAATACAGAATGAATGAAAGAAAAAGAAAGAGGGGTTAGTGTAGAGCCATGCCCCCACCCTCAACCTCACCTCAGCAAGGCCGGCGCACCGCAATAAGCGAAAGGGGAGAGCCTTGGGGAGGTCAGCGAGCGCCGGGGAGACGAGCAGATTTATGCTTCCCCATTAGCCGGTTTCCCGAGACGCCCGGGTCGCACACGCCAACACATATAATATGCAAATTCCTGTCAGTTTACTAACAGTGCTCCCAGGCATCGTGGTGGGGATGAAGAGAAAGAGGGGAAGGGAGGGGGGATGAAGAGGAGGGGAGGAGGGGAAGGGAAGGGTTGAACAGCCGCAGGCCCCCGTTGCTGTGGAACCGTCCGGCAGGTTTTGTGATTGGCACCGATGCCAGCATGTCGCACCTGGATGACACTGATAACAGCAAAATCAAACGTATAACCGTGACGCCCTTTCCAGCCTGCACCAAATGGCGCAACTGCACCAAGTTGACATTTGCAGGAACAAAGTTGCTCTCCGGCGGCAACGAGGATGGCACTAACACATTTTGCTTTCTTTTCTTTTCTTTTCTTCCTTTTTAAAGCCTACCAGACAACACCAACGCACGCATTCTCGTCGCTAGTGTGACAGACATGGCGCTTCCCGGTTATGGCCCCTTCTGCTGCAGGGTGACACCACCTTCAGCCCTATGTCAAAACAATACTCCAGATGTCACGGATGGCATGACAGGCAGTCCCAGCCGTCCGGGATCGGCAGCAGCTGATACGTGATGTATTGTGACATGATTGCCTTGCGAGATATACATAGCATGACAACCTATATTCGAGACGCCGAATCAACATGTAATACAACTGGGAAAATGCCGAAAAAATACATGGAAATTACGGATCGTTGTCTCAACATAGAACGTCCCTGCATCGACATTTTTTCGGCCATCACGCCAACATTCCGGCCAGCACGCCAGCATTTGAGGCCATTGCCTACGAAAAAGGAGAAAAGGAAATAGACCATTAAATCAACATGGGAGCCTATCTCACGCAGGCTCGTTCTCCTTGTCCTCCTGGGATTCTTCTTCGTCTTCGTCTTCTTCTTCTTCCTGGCTCTTCCTTCTCCTCCTCCTCCTTCCTCCCTCCTCTCTCCTTTTCCCTCCTTTCTCTTCTCCTTCCCTTCCTCCTCCCTCCTCGCCTTTCCTCCTCCTCTCCTCCTCCGTCCCTTTTCTCCTCCTTCCTCCCTCTCTCCTTCCCTTCTTTCCTCCCTCCTCCCTCGTCTTTTCCTCCCTCCCCGTCCTTCCTCTTCTTCCTCCTCCTCCCACCTCCTCTTTCCCCCGCTCTCTCCGCCGCCACCGCAGAATGATACGACGCCGCTCATGAATAACCAAACCCCACACACTCCGCACCGGCAGAAATCGCGTGGCCCGGATCTCGACCTGCCTATAGCCAGGGACTTCCCTACAGTGATGATTAGAAGACCTTGGTATGCTTCCAGTAACTAGACCCTGGCATGCCCTTCTATACCAATCATGACAAGAGACTTCCTCTACAGTGATGATTAGAAGACCTTGGTATGCTATCAGTAACTAGACCCTGGCATGCCCTATAGTGCCAGTCATGGACCATGGTACCCGTTAAATGCCAGTCGCATGACCTTCACACTACTGCAGTTGATTCCCAAAGCGTGTGCCGCCGTTATCCTCTGTGTATCGCGAGGCTTTGGGCGAGATTTTATTTGTGTACAAATCTTGCTTATAAGGTGGAGGAGAGAGAGACGGAGAGTGAGCTGGGCGTGGAATTTACAAGTCACACACACACACACACACACACAACACACACACACCACACATCACACACACACACGCACGCACACAACACGCACGCACACACATCACACACCACAACACACACACACACACACACAACAACACACACACACACACACATACACACACACACACACCACACACACAACACAACACAACACACACAACACACACACACACACACACACACACACACACCACACACAACACACACACACACACAACACACACACACACAACACACACACACACATTTTCATATATATTATATATATATATACATATATATATATATATATATATATATGAAAAAGGCAAGTGTGCTGCAAAAAAATTAGTTGTCCCTTATGCGGTACCAAATAATTTGAAAACCACTCCACTCCACATCCGGTAAGTGTCATCCACAACCGTTTCCGCATCTGTTTCAAGACAAGACCTCGCTGACACCACCTACAGAGTTAATCCAACGCACCATTTTCTCCGACGAGGAAACCGTAGCCAGCTTCCACGTCTCCAGGACACCGCCGACCGAACTCCTCCTCGAATCAACCTTCTATCTCCCGGCCCCCGACTTGGTCACCCGAGGTACACTTCCCCGGGACGCCGAACCGATGGCGAAGGT